TGATTCTATGATTCTATGATTCTGTACATATTTACCACAAGCTTCATGTGTTGGCTCTTACATCTTGTACCAGGAAAAGTTAATCCCTGCCCACTCACTAGGCTATTCATAATTCTATCGTGTCATATTGCTAGAGCCTCCCTTCCAGGCTGAAGAGCCCCGGCTTGCTCTGTCAATCCTCATCTGGAAGCTGTTACAGAAAGAACGTTGCTGCAACAGTACCACGCCCTGGGCAAACCGAGGATTTATAAGATGATGCTTTCTGTCGTATTCTTCATTTCTTCCCTAATAATTTCTAACATCTGGTACTTTTTGACTGCCGCCAAGCGCTGAGCTGGTGCTGCCATGGAGTCATCTACTGCAACTCAAAGTTTTGCTCCAGTATAATAAGAACAGCTCAGAGACCAACGTTTCATGGGGGGGAATAGGGTTGCATCACTTTACATTTATTGTATTATATACATTTACCTGGCATTTTACTGCCCAGAAGGGCGGGCTCCTAAGGTCCTTTTGCAGATCTTCATAATCTGCTCTCTGTGACACACACACTCCCTCCTGTCCCCTTTTTCATAGCGTTTATGAATATATTAAGCAGTGCCAGCGGAAGCTGGAGACCAGGCAGGAGCAAAGTAGCTGATCCTCGTGCTCCCTGGGCTGACTGCTCAGGCGTGGTGTGCTGGGAGAGCTGAAGAATAAACCACATAGCCCTGGTGATCTCTCCCAAGCCTGTATTCCTATGAATGGGTTACGAAACAAAAATGTTATTGGGTAATGTGGAAGCAGAGAAATAGTTAGGCATGGGGGACTTCTTCAGCCAGCATTTTGTTAGCGAGATTTGCTAGCCTGAACGGTCTGTGTTGTAGCTCTGCTCCTGTACCTCGTTTCTTGAAGAGAAGAAACATCTGTTTCCATCTTGGTTTTTCCAGTGCCAAAATGTCATTTCATTCTTTCAGGGCACTTCATTGCTGACAGACAGCAGCAGGCTCCATCAAGGGAAGGAAGGAACAACATATTTCTTAGTCGTGGACAATGCTGCCTTGGAAGATGGTGGTGTTTATACCTGTGTTGCCAAAAATGCAGGAGGGGAGGTTTTGTGCAAAGCAGAGCTTATCGTACACGAAGGTAATGTCATTCTTTCAGCTGCAGGATTGCTCCCATAGCCATTGCAATGTGTACTCCGTTGCAGTCATCTTCTGGTACCCATATGGTATCTGCTCTGTATTCCTGCGTAGCATTTGTATATTACTAGTATGGCAGGATCCAGTATAAGAGCAAGTGATCTAATGACCTACATATACACAAATGTGTAATGACCTATATATACACAAATTAGATTTTTTTTTTTTTTCTCTGCTTGACAAACTGATACAATGAGCCACAGAAATAAGTGGGGCCATGTCCCTGGTGGTGTTCTGCTCTTTAGCCTGCCTCTTCAGATTTACGTCAGGTGAAGATGCAGCCCCAAAGTTCATATTGACAGGTTCTGTCATCGAACAGCTCCACTTAATTCTGTGCAGAAGTTTAGAGGACCCCTGTGATTTTTCCTGCCTTAAATTGTCCTGTAATAACTTTGCACGCTATTAGCAAGGCATTGGTGTCTGAATATTAACACTTATATTTTCCTTCATTTCCAAAGCTAAGAAAGACCAAGCAGCAAAGAAAGTGGCCACCAGGCGAAAGCTCCATTCCCTTTATGAGGTTAAGCAGGAGATTGGAAGGTAAATGAATTTTCCAACTTTATAGCATCACTGCCAGAGAATATCTAATTGCCCATCTGAGCTGCTGAGCGTGTGTAACCAGAGGTGAGCCCAGCTGTGGAAACGTCTGAAAAGGTGAAAGTACTGGCAGAAGTTGGAGGTCACCCCATTGCAGGTGTGCTAGAAACACTTTCCTGAGGTTTCTGACAGAGGATGGGAGAGTCCATACAGTCCATAGGTCCAGGTAGCTCCAACCAGAAAAAAATACCAGTCAGAAGCTGGCAGGATAGGTGCCCAGGTATGACTTCTTGGCCATGTTAGGGTCACAAGCCCAGAGTGACGTATGCACAAGCACCGTGTCCGTCCAGGGGATCCAAGAGCATCAGCCTTTGTCAGCACAAAGCTGTATCACCTGAAACAGCTTTTCCCTTGAAACTCTTTGCTTAGTTTTGGAGACAGCCAGGAGAGGGCAATAGCACCTCACATACAGGAAAATGAGCTTTTAATGTTGGAGAATTTAAGCCCTGAGCAGCAGGGAGCTGTCAAAGGCTGGGACATGGAAAGGTCTACGCCCGCTGTGCGGAGGGCTTTGAACCAAGTCTGAGCAGGGCTTCTCCTTTGATTTTTACACAGAGGCTGCTTCAGCTTTGTGAAACGAGTTGTGCACAAAGGGAACAGAGTGTCTTGTGCTGCCAAATTCATACCTCTACGAAGCAAAACGAAGGCTCGAGCGCATCAAGAGAGGGATATTCTTGCCTCTCTGTCCCACGACAGAATTACCAGGCTCCTGGATCAGTTTGAAACGCGGAAAACACTGATTTTGATTCTGGAGTTGTATCCTTTTCTGTGCTGCTTGTCTGAGGAGGCTGGGAAGTACTAGGTAGAGATCATTTATTAAATGACTAAGCAATTAACCATTTTTAAGTTTTGCCTGAAATAAAAGGACACTCACAATCTTTCCCTGCACTGCAGGATGGCATAGCTCTGTGAGACCTTCACCGAAGTACAATGTTTCTGCTGCCTTAGGAAAAATCATGATACTTGTAGAGACAAGTGTGAATGAGTTGTTAAGCACCAAAACTCTTTTCTGAAATGTCTGGAAGTGAAGGACTCTGTTTCCATGAGATCGAGTCTGGGTGAGCACCAGGAAAATGCAGTGCAGAGCAGAAAAGCCCATAGTCAACAGGTAGATTTTAGCACAAGCAATACCATGCTCCTGCTTGTAGGGAGCACAGGTTTAGAGCAGCCCAATTCTGCAAGAAGGACATCGCTGCAATAGAGACTTTAATGAGTTACACATCACGTTCCCTGAGATCACCTCATGAATTCTGCTGTTAGCTGGAGGTGATTACAAAGTAAAAATAAGCATTTAACTGTAGTTCTGTTTTCCCTTAATGCCGTTGTCAGATGCTCCAGTGAAGAGCTCCTTGACCGTTTATTCAAGAAGAGTGTCGTCACTGAAGCAGAGGTAATCTTTCTTTCTCATTTGAAAGTCCAGAGTTGGTGGGTACCACCAGAGTACCTTCCAGCTGCATTTTCCTTTTTGAATATGAGGAATGTCTTTGAACCAGTGATAATTTGTCAAAACAGAAGCAGCCTTTAAGATGTGTTCCCATCAGCTTTCATTACTAAGTTGAGTTTCTTTGGGGAACAGCTAGAAACAGCCAGTGGTCGTGACCACCAGCATTCAGCCTATTACAGATGATGTTACAGATCATATTACAGATGATATTTGCTCTATTATCATAATTTCTTTGCTCTTTGTCACCTGGAGCTCCTGTATCTTCACTTGCTTAATAACACTTTATCCCCTCGCAACTGTACTTCTATTCACTCCCTTTCAGTCTCCAAACCAAGGGCTGAAATTATGCTTTCTAAGGGTTTTTTTGAGATCCTTGGTGCTCAAAGTTCAAAATGTTTCACATCTCCCATCTAGTAGCCAGGTGTCCCCTATTTATTGGTAAAAGTGATTTTTCTTAGAAATACTCAGAGGGAAGTATCATAGAATCATAGAATGGTTTGGGTTGGAAGGGACCTTTAAAGATCAAATGTCAGCTAACACTACAAAATGTCAAAGGTAGAGGACTTCCAAAGCTGAAGCTAGCTGTAAATCTTCACTCCTTGTTCAGTCATAGTCAGATTGGATCTACATACAGTCAAGAAAATAGGTTTGCAACATAGTTTTAAAACGTATTTGTGTTTTATGTGTGTTTGTCTAATTTACACCAAGCCAGAACTGAGTTAGATAAGTTAGACAGTTGATAAGGTTCATCAAACTTGAGGATTTCTGTATCTCTTTTTTGCATGTTTGTAGGTTTTTTTTTTTTTTAAAGTAAGGACTTTTTCACATATAGAAGGCTCCAGCAGGGCAACGTTGTCACACATGAGGCACAGCTTCATTCCACAGGGTAATGTTTGGTTCACGTGTTATTTCAATTGCAAGACTAATATAAGAAGTTCATTCTAGTTTTAAAACTATTTCTAGTTCAATCTCTCCCTTGCTCGTATATTAAAAATGTTGGTGGAATCAGGGACCCTCTTATTTACTATTAATGTTCAATAATTGTTTAATTATTTAATTTTTAGGTCAAATTGTATATCAAGCAAATTTTGGAAGGAATCAAATATCTTCATGACAACAACGTCCTTCATTTGGACATTAAGGTAACGTGCAATGGCAGGTCTAGCTTATTATAGCCTCTTGTTGGACAGGGAATGGGAGTTCTCTATTCAAATTATTCTTTCTTACAACTGAAAATATTGCCTGCTTTCAAGAAAAGTTTCTCCTTTTTATTTTATTTCATTTACTAGCCACTGAATATCCTCATGGTTTATCCTGAAAGGGAAGACCTTAAGCTCTGTGACTTCGGATTTGCTCAGAAGATAACGCCCTTTGAACCTCAATTCAGCAAATACGGGTCTCCGGAGTTTGTTGCCCCAGAAATTGTTTCTCAGTCACCAGTGTCAAAAGCAACCGATATCTGGTAACCTGTCATCTTTCTAAAAAGCTTTTGTGCTAGACGGCCTGAATTTCCATTTATCGTTAATAAGTAAATGGAGTAGTGATAATAACACAGGAAACTGAAAGTGAACACTGAGAATCCAAAACCCATCAGGGCTCTTTAAAGCTCCTTCTGTCTATTTTGTTCAACCATAATTGAACTCTGACAGCTAATTAATGCAAAGAGAAGATGATCTTTGTTAGAGGCAGCAACTAGGGAGGATGATCCTAAGGGGCTTTCTAGAAAAGGCAAACAAACTCAAAAAAAGAATGCAAAGGAGCATCTTAGAGAAGATGATCTTTGTTAGAGGAAGCAACTAGGGAGGATGATCCTAAGGGGCTTTCTAGAAAAGGCAAACAAACTCAAAAAAAGTATTTTGAGTCTTCTCCTCTATCTGTGCTTTAAAAACGGAGGATTACTTGAGAACAATTTTAAAAAATGTTGAAGGGAAAAAAATTGAAGGGTGAAAACAATAGCTTTGGGGTTTTATTTTCCTTGGAAAGGTGAGGAGAAGAAGGTGATCTTACTGTGCCAGGGTGTCTAGTAGCAGGAAGAAGGGCTGTGTGCTTGAGAAGGATCGAGAAATAGTGATGACCACCTGACATTTGTGTTCCCTCTCTCCTCAGGGCTGTTGGAGTCATCACGTATTTAAGGTAAATAAATCTTCTTCGAAAGACTAATTCAATATAGAATCATAGAATCATAGAATAGTTTGGGTTGGAAGGGACCTTTAAAGGTCATCTAGTCCAATCCCCTGCCATGGGCAGGGACATCTTTCACTAGATCAGGTTGCTCAGAGCCCCGTCCAACCTGACCTTGAATGTTCCCAGGGATGGGGCATCTACCACCTCTCTGGGCAACCTGGGCCAGGGTTTCACCACCCTCATTGTAAAGAATTTCTTCCTTATATTTAGTCTAAATCTACCCTCTTTTAGTTTAAAACCATTCCCCCTTGTCCTGTCACAACAGGCGCTGCTAAAAAGCTTTTGTCCCCATCTGTCTTATAAGCCCCCTTTAAGTACTGAAAGGCCGCAATAAGGTCTCCCCGAAGCCTTCTCTTCTCCAGGCTGAACAACCCCAACTCTCTCAGCCTTTCCTCATAGGAGAGGTGTTCCACCCCCCTGATCATTTTGGTGGCCTCCTCTGGACCCGCTCCAACAGGTCCATGTCTGTCCTGTGCTGAGGACCCCAGAGCTGGACGCAGCACTGCAGGGGGGGTCTCACCGGAGCAGAGGGGCAAACATCTCTTAGCCAGTCAGAGCCCTCCAGTACCTTCAAGTGAGGGATTTGAATGAAGCATTGCGTTCTTCTATAATGAGGGCAACTTCTTTTGTGGTTTTCTCCTTTACTGACTCTTCCCTTGTTGCCCAGGGCTTTGTTCATTGTCCCTGCTTGAAGACCTGACAGCAACTCTCCTTGCAGTTAGCAATGAGAGCGGTGGATGAGGTTCAGTCTTCCCCTTGCCTGTTTTAGCCAACACCCTACTGTAGCTGTGCAAAATCAAACCCTTAATTCCTTATTCCAGAGAGAAATAATTCAGTTAAGTGCCATGTAATGCTGGGGTGAAAGATGCTCTGTAAGTGGATGCAGTCAGTGCTCAGAAGCATTGCAAGGCCCACTCATGGAGTCTCTCAAGCATTTTAAAGCCCCATGTAAGCATTTGTGCTTCTGTCACTTGAACAGCAAATAAAAGTCTAAAGTCTGTCTCCTTTTATTTTATGGTGTTCAATAAATAAGCCTAACATGCAAGTCTCCATTTGCTGGGGAGAACGACAGAGGAACCCTTCTAAATATCCAGAACGGGGAAATTTCATGGACCATTCCTGATTTTGTTCACTTGAGTGAAGATGCAAAGGACTTTATGAAAGGGATCCTACAGCAGCACCCCAAGTGAGTGCACTTTTGTCCTTCCTACAGCCAGTGTGCAAAGATGATGGTGTCTCAGCAGGCAGATCTCAGCTTGTTTTGAAAAGTAGAAAGCTGAGTGAGACGTGGTGTGTTACGCCCTAATTCTTCTTTATTATTCCCCATTACCCAAAACGCAACTTGGCAATTTTCCAAATCGGCCTGTTTCTGGTATGGTGGTGTCCTTACTCCCTGACTCCTCCAGGCAGATGAGTTTCTGAAATGACATAGAGAAGTGGGAAGAGCAAGGACTGGTATAGGGGGAGTTACGCGAGAATTAAATAATATTAACCATATTCATTAAGAAGTTGCAGGTACGAAAGGTGGCTTGAAGGCATGTTTGCAGGCACTTGCTTTTTGATTTCATGTCTATTCTGCCTGCTGCCAAAACTATTTTTGCTCTGGCCACCTAAAGAGTCAAAGTCACTCCTAGGGCTGCTCTCGACGCCCTTGAACAGGCTCCCTGCAGAGTGCCATGGGGTCTTCTGAGGATCTGCAGGGAGTCTCAGACTGAAAAAGGAGGATGGTTTCACCTCAAGGGAAGGAAACCTTGGGTTGAAAGCCTCTGTCTGTCTGTTTGGCTTCTCAGCTCTAAAACAGCAGCCTAAGGACATACACAAAAGTGTATGTGTGTGTCCATGTGAAGCAAGCACCTTCAGGAAGATCTTGTAGTTGCTGTTGGAAGTGACTTGCTACTAAAATGGTGATCTTTTCTTTTATCAGAGCCAGGCCTAGTGCTTTGGACTGTCTTTCCCACAAGTGGTTCATGGTAAGTTTTTCCTGGTTCTTTAGTAGAGTCATTAAAAATATTGAGGTTGGAAGGGACCTTTGGACCTCTTAAAGCTGCTTGATATTATTTGCTGGTTTATTCTTTCTCTTGGTCTCCTACTTTCTGTCCTACAGAGAAACTCGGGCATAGCTCTCCAGAAAGAGGAGACACATTGGTGTTTACATGCCAAGATATCTTTCCTTTCAAAAGATAAAGATTACTGCTGACATGAGCAGATGTAACATGTCTGTATAGAAAGGAAACTGTGGCTTTGCAGAGCGAAGTTATGGTTTGTATTCCAATGCCTTAAATTGCTAAGGAGAAGAGCTAAAAATTAACAAAACAAAAAGGAATTTAATGACATACATTGAACAGGGCTTGCTTTTATCATTGAAAAGCTGAGATTGTCTACAATTTAGCCCTGAGGGGATTGTAGCATTTGGTGTATTGTAATTTTCCTAAATTAAACAATTCTGGACAGAGGGAATCCTAAAAAAAAACTTCTCAGGAAATGAAGTCAGGATTTTTTAACCAATGATTTTCCTCTCATTCTACCTGGCAGCGTAATCTCCCCCTCGAAGCAGCTCATTTCATTAATACCAAGCAGCTCAAATTCATTGTGGCTCGGAGCAAGTGGCAGGTGAGTTGGCCTTAATCTATGTTGGTTCTTTTTAGTTATATTTATTTTTAATTACATTTGCATCTTTTAAAGTCTATCAGGCTAAGACAATGAGCACAGCAGAGATCTCAGCTTGGTTATGAATGGGGAATAAGCCCAGGAGAGAGTGGTCGATGGATACGGCAGAAATAAATTATCTAGACTTTTACTGCCTGGAAGTCATCTGGTCTAATGCAGGTGCCTGTAAGACACATGGTTGAGTCTAAGTTAGGTACCCTCAGCTGCCTTTGCAGTTGGTACTGAATTATAGACAGTTCCCAAGAAGATGCCTCTTTTCCTGAAGTTCTCTAAAATAATCAGATTCATTGCCTTCTGAAGATGCCTGTTTCTCTCTGTTGGCTGTAAGGGGAGGCCAGCTGCTCAACTTCAGATGAGATGTCTCACATGGCAGAAGTTAGAGCAGATGAATCCTACCTCCTACAGTATGGTAGGTCTTCTGTTGTTCTACGTCACTGTAGGTTGTACTGCAGTCAACGGATTTAAGGCCATTTGCTCCAGCTAGGCTCTCATCTGAAATGTTCCATTAAAAACTCCTTTTCCATCTGCTTTGAGTGGCCAGATTGTCTTTGAAAATCTCAAGCAGGATTCTGCTTCCCTGTTCACAACAGCAAGTATGTCCCCTGAAGTCACATTTAGTTTCACCTCTGTGAATGAGAGAAGAGGAAGAGTTGGAGAGCAAAGGAGGCCTGGATTGACAATACGTGCAAAAGGGTGGCAAAGTGTTATTAAACTAGTATGTGTGGTATTTAAGAGTGAAGAAGTTCATTTGGTATGCTTGCTTTACCATACTCCCACCATATTTCCATCTGATTGTGCTGTAATTTGTTTTGCTTTTCAGCGGTCTCTGATGTGCTATAAATCCATACTGGTAATGCGATCTATCCCAGAAATCCTAGAAAGGACTCACGACAACACCTCCCTGGCCATCTCCCGACATCTGATTGAAGAAAGCACTTCGTCCAGTACCAGCGGCTCCTCTTCAGACAATGAGAACTCGCATTTCCCCAAGAAGAGGCACTTTGGCTCTACACCCGAACTGCACTTGTCCATATTTGATGCATTGAGCCATCAGGAACCTCCAAAACATGCAAGTGAAGAGAAGCACTCCAAAATCTCCGTCCCTCCAGTAAAACCCATGAGGAGGAAGTACGCTTCAATGAAAGCTGAGGTGGGGGACAAATCACCTACAGAAAGCAAAGAGCTCACGGCAAGTATCCTAAAGGAGAAAGAGGAGGGGCTCCATCCCAGACTTCAAGTTGAAAGAACAGAGCAGGCCCAAAGAAGCAGTGCTGCTGAGCCTTCATCAGTGAGGACTTCCACAGAAAGCACATCACATCTATGTCAGAAAGAAAAACCAGACATATTTTTGTCTGATAAGGACAGAATTGAAAAGGCTGGGGATGGGACAGAAAAGCCACCTGTCTGTGTTCCTAGACAGAGTGTCATTAAAAGCACTTTCTACAGCCAAGCAGCTGAGCTACCTGCAAGGGGGCCTTCCTCACCAGGCAGGGAGTTCAGAAGGCACCTGGACAGAGCCAGAAGGACCTTCCGGAAAGCTGGATATTCAAAGGTGCCCCTCAGTGGTCTCCGTGAACCCCTTCTAGAGCAGTTCGAACTGGAAGAAGAAGAAGAAGGAAAGTCTGACGATGGAGATGATCACAGGGAAAGTCTGCTTGGTTCCTTGACCAAATCAGCTTCATTTGACACTGCAAGAAAACCACCACATCCTGCCATTGCTGGTGCTAGCCGAAGCCGCTCCCTGGATGACTACAGGCTGAGAGCCTCAAGATCAGTGAGGGAACAAGATATTTTGGAAGAAGACTGTGATATATTGTCACAGGAAAGTTGCCCTGAAGGCAGCGACCACTGCGACACTTCTGCAGGGCCTGGCAAGGGATGTTCTGTAGATGCTTCAAAGCAAGAGGACTTTAGAAGAGCCCACAAGGATTGTTCAGAAGATCAGCCCCCTCTTTCCACACAATGTGAGGGTAATGGGTGCCCAGCTGTTTTTGTGCAACAGCTAGAGAGGCTTCCAGTGTCACCTCATAGGAGCGAGAATAGGAAACATTTACTGAAGAAGTCAAAAGCTGCTTACATTGAGGAGGAAGTTGAAGATTTGGAAGGCAAAAGCCCCATTCTAACTGCCCAGAGCTCAGATGTAACCGCATCATCAGCTCAAAAACGTGAAAGCATGGAGGGTAAATCTTCCCCTGGCAGTGCCTCTGACACTGCTTTTCAGGAGGGCAAACAGTCCGTTTCAACCCTCACACGGTCAGAGACCACCTCCAAGCCAGCCCCTACAAGTGAGGGAGGTGTGTGTCTGCCCCAGGAAGCTGCTCACAGTACCGACATCCACCCGGATCTAAAAGGTGGAAGCTTGCTTATCAAAAGGACAGCCCCAGTTCCACCTTGGAAAGACAAAAGGCAGAAACATTCACATGAGAAGACTTCTGCTCACAGTGTTGCCAAATCTGATCTCACGCAGCATGAAAGCTCTGCTGTTTTAACAGGCCCACAAACAGAAACGGATGCACTTCCAGTATGTAAAGACAAAAGTCAGGAACTTCCTGGTCAAAGTGTTCCAGCAACTACTGTCTTGGTGGGCAAACGGCCAGGTACCCTGACTGCTCTGCACACAGCTGAGGAAGGTGCTCATCAGAAGCTGAAGCCCTATAAAGAGGTGAGATCTGCTGTCCTGGAGGATGAAGGACCAGGTATTATGGGAATCACTCCACCGTCAGCCCATGATCGTGAAAGCCAAGTGCACAAGAGGGCTCCTGTTCATGTAGACACAGCATCTGCCGTCCTGAAGGGAGAGCATCTCGTTGTTCCAAAAGTCCCACCACCAAATTCAATGCCGACTTCGGTCTCCGATGGAGCACGGCAGGCTGAAAGGGAATGGCCAGCTCACAGCAAGGAGAGGCTTGCTGCTCTGAGGAGTGAAAGCTCAGCTGTCGCAGAGGTTGTTCCCAGTGTGGCCCGTGAGGCTGAAATCGAGAGAGCTGAACCCCAGAAGGTTTCTGAAGACAGTGGCACGGTGCCTGCTGTTCTGGAGAGCAGACACCCAGCTAGAACTGTGTCCTCCCAAAATACTGGCCTCCCTTCAGTCTGTGAGAGTAAAAAGCAAGAACACCCAAAGGCATCACTTCGCAGTGAGGTGAGATCTGTTGTGACAGCAAGTGGAAGCCAAGCAGCTGGACAGACTATGCCTGCTCCTTTCCCCAAGGCTGGACACCAAGTGTTTGAACAGCACAGGGCAGCCTACCCCAGTGGCAGTGTTTCTGCTGATCTGGAGGGTGGGCCTCCAGTCTTAACTGCTTCACAACCAGAAGATGCTCCAGCTTCAGTCTATGAGCTAGAATATGAGGAACATCCAAAGGTTTATGGTGAGGGTAGAGGCGTTGCCTTAGAAAGTGGAAGCTGTGATGCCAGAAAAACTGTCCCACCGTCGCTCCGCAGGGATCAAAGCCAGGAGCTCTCACATCACAGGTCTTCTTTTTACAGTGATGAGGAGTCTGCTGTGCTGGAGGGCTTAGTGGATGAGATGGTTTCCCTCTCTGAAGAGATGAATGTTTGGGCAGAGTCAGTGTCTGGTGAGGAGGAATGCAGAAAGCACATCTCTCCTCCCACAGAGATGTTCTACAAAGGCCCAGGTAGCCAAGCACCCATGGACACCTCCTTCCCTTCTGTCCAAGGGGGTAAAAGAGGAGAAGTCTCTGAGCTGGATGACCTTGCAGAACCCTATCTTGTCGTGAGTGAGGAGTCAGTGGTACTGGAAGGGCAGGGAGCACAGACGGTTCCTCATGAATGTGAGCATCTGGAGGACTTAGCATTTGAGAGCCCCACTTCTAGCCCAGTGAGTGTTTCCTCAACAGATAGCTTGGACACTGGAAAAAGACCCAGTCAAGTGTCAGTGAGCAAGGACACTGGTAAACACCCAGAAGTTTCTTTAGTGAAAATCAAAGACCTGTCGGATGAAACACCCAGTCTTGGCAGTGGAACTCCAAAATTTGACATATCAGAGGTAGAGCCTGCCTATTTGAATTTCTCTGACTTGTATGACATTGTCTATTTTCCATTTGAATTTATGAACTATAGGAAGCCTCCACCTAAACCAACTGGTCGACGGTTTATACCTTTTGGTGAAAGGGCAAGGTCACCTCCTGCAGGACATTTGCATAAGGACAAAAGACTGTGCATCAGAGAAGAGGCAGAGGACAAGAACAGGAAGAACCATTTGGAAATATCTGAGGATTCAAAGGCAACTAACTTATTAGCCATGGGGAAAGTGTCAGAGAGTGATAAAGAAATGTATGGCCCCCAAAAGGACTCCAGTGGTAAGCAGAAAAGCTCCTTCTGCAACAAGCCAGGACTCTTTAAACCGTATGCAAGGTCTCATTCAGTGGAGCAGTCAGTGGAGCAGAGTCTGAAGAAGAAAGTGAAAGCTTCTGTTGCCCATATTTCAAGAATCCTAAAAGGAAAGACATCTCCTGAGCCAGAAGCAGAGGAAGGTAAGTATTTTACTCTGTGCCTTCATAGATTTGCTGCTATAACTGGGCTCGGCTAAATCTGCCTTTTCCTTTTTGCCCAGCATATCTGAGGCTGTGATTAGACCCGTCATTGCAAAACTGGCAGTGGCAGGTTATGATCTGCACAAAAGCAGATCGTGGCTGGATGATGCTCACAGTTTAGACAGGTACACTCTTC